CAGCGAGAGAGGGAACACAAGCAGGGGGAGTGGGAGAGGGAGAAGAAGGCTTCCCGCCGAGCAGGGAGCCTGATGTGGGGCTCGATCCCAGGATCCCGGGATCATGACCTGAGCCGAAGGCAGACGCTTAACGACTGAGCCACCCAGGCGCCCCTCTAATTCTTTAATTTAGAAGTGTGCAAAACCAATCCCACACATTTAAGTGCACACAAGAAAAAATGGGTTATCAGAATGCAATTATATTTTAGGATCGCAGTAGATAAGCTGATTTTCATTTTGGACCTTATTCTTCCTTGTTGTTTTTTTTTATCTAAACACTTACTATTTGGAATAATAACTCATTGAAAGTTTTATTAATTGAATAGCTCTCAATTTGTTCTTTAGCCCTGCCATTTTCTGCCAAGGACTTTTCCTGATTCATTAAAGCATGACCTACTAAATGGGTGTACTGTTACCGAAATTTCATTTTCTTTTGTACTACAATGCTTATTGGAGTTCTGGTGAGGTTTCGAACCTCCAAAGCACAGCATTCAATATCATTCATTTAAAATAACTTACCACTGGTAGGGGTGGTGGGAGCGATGAGGGGGCTGAGACAGTGGTCGCCATTGTGTGAAGATGGAGCTTCCCGGAGGAAATGACAATTACCTGACCATCACAGGGTCCTCGCACCCCTTCCTGTCAGGTGCCAAGACATTCCATACACCAAGTCTGGGAGATGAGGTATTTGAAATCCCACCTATCTCCTTGGATTCTGACCCCTCCCTGGCTGTCTCAGATGTGGTTGGTCACTTTGATGACCTGGCAGACCCCTCCTCCTCTCAGGATGGTAGCTTTTCAGCCCAATATGGGGTCTAGACATTGGACATGTCTGTGGGCATTACCCATGGCTTGATGGAGCAGGGCGGGGTGGGGGGCTCCTGAGTGGAGGCTTGACCATGGACTTGGACCATTCTATAGGAGCTCAGTTTAGTGACAGCCCACCTGTTACAACTGATGTACCAATGACAGACATGCCATCTGGCTTGATGGGGCATAGCCAGTTGACCACCACTGATCAGTCAGAACCCAGTTCTCAACTTGGTTTAAGCTTAGGGGGTGGCACCATCCTGCCACCTGCCCAGTCACCCAAGGATCGTCTTTCAACCAGTAGTAGGTGAATCACTTTCACCTGCTAGTTCACTTCACAGGAATGGTATTGAGGATTTCTGGACGCAACTTCCCAGCCAGAAGACAGTTGTGGTGGAAGCAGGAAAAAAGCAGAAGGCCCCAAAGACAAGAAAAAAGAAAGATGCTAATGAACCTCAGAAGCCAGTTTCAGCATCTGCTTTAGTCTCTCGTGATACACAGGCTGCCATCAAGGGACAGAAACCCAATGCCACTTTTGGGGGAGGTTTCAAAAATTGTGGCCTCCATGTGGGATAGTCTTGGAGAGGAGCAAAAACAGGTGTATAAGAGGGAAACTGAAGCTGCCAAGAAAGAGCATCTGAAGGCTCTGAGTGCATATAAAGACACTCAGGAGTGTCAAGCCACTGTGGAAACAGTAGAATTAGATACAGTACCACCATCACAGACTCCTTCTCCACCTCCTATGGCTACTATTGACCCAGCATTTCCAGCATCAGCCTCAACAGAGCCCCCTGCCCTGTCCTGTCCCATTGTTGTTAACTCCACTCTTTCCTCCTATGTGGCAAACCAGGCATCTTCTGGGGCTGGGGCTCAGCCACCCCTCTGTTTTTTCCAGGCACCTCTGTTTTTGTGACATATTCTTTGACATGATCATTTTCATTATCAATTGGCTACAATCACCATGTTGATTATTACCAAAGAGAAGTTGCCCTCTTCTATGACTATGTCTTAAGGAAGAATGGTCACTGTTAGCCCGCCACAGTGGTGACCTCCCGGGGGATCCAACTAAGCCAAACCAGTACAGCCACTCCCCAGCCCAGTCAACAAGCCCAAATTGTCACTCGCTCAGTGTTGCAGCGGCACTCCACCCTGACGACAATCCCCCTCCACTGCAACAGATGCGTCAGCCACCCACTCAGCAGCAAGTCGCCATTCCGCAGCAGTCTCCCCCACTTCAGGCCGAGCCACAGCCTCCACCTCAGAAAGTTCGAACCCATGTACGGCAGCAGCCACCTCCTCTGCAGATGAAGATAGTGCCTCCTGAAAATGCAGACGCCCTTGGTCCCACCAGCTGTGGAAAGCAGTCCTGAGCGGCCTGTGAACAACAGCCCCGAGGCCCATACAGTGGAGGAGACCTCTCCTGAGACAATCTGTGAGATGATCACAGATGTATTCCTGACGTTGAGTCGCCTTCTCAAATGGATGTTGAATTGTGAGTGGGTCTCCCGTGATGCTCTCACCCAGCCTCGATGTGTGAGGTCGGGTTGTAAGAAACCTCCCGTTGTGAGGGAGGACTGGGACAGTGAGTACTGCAGCAATGAATGTGTGGTGAAGCACTGCAGGGATGTCTTTGTGACCTGGGTGGCTTCTAGAAATTCCAACACTGGTGTTTGTGAAGGCATCCATCCTGTTCTCCAAGCCAGGGAAGACTTAGATGCTGGGAACATGTCTCAGAGCCTCTTTTTAGAACACAAGCTGGGCTTTATGGTAGTGCCTGATCTCAAACCTTGACGGTCCTTTGTGCTTCTCCCCTTTTCTGTCTCTTCAGCAAGGGCCATACTGTGGAGCAAGGCCGTTGAGTTTGTTGTAATCTGGAGTTGCTTTTTACTTTCAAGGACAAGCAGAGATACCAGTGATAATAGCAGAGGAGAGGGTGAAGGGATATGAACAAGCCAAACATAGGGGTGCTGCTGGTCGGGGGTTGTTTGAGGAACTCGGGATAATTGTCATAGGGCATGCCTAAACAATTATTAAAATGTTGGAGAATACTAAAAAAAAAATAAAATAATTTACCAGAGCCTTATGTGGACTGCTTTCTAATACCTATGAATATAAAATTACCAAAATTTAGTGTGATTTTGCTAAACAAATAATATTGCTAATAAGAAAATTTTACCTCCACAATTGTAGTTGCAGTAAATGACCACTAATTCCTGAGTTGTTCCCTTTTACTAAATATAATTATACTCTAGGCTCTTTATAGAGAAAGGACATCTAGGTTTTAAAATTGATTGTTTTTTAAGCTATTTAATCCAGTTTGAAAATGAATTAAATGCATCACAGTAATGTACAGGGCTTACCATTTATATTGAGGAAAGACATAACCAGAAAGTTTCCTAGATGTAATCTGAGACTTAGTGAAGTCCCATTTCTTCAAGCACCAACCAGCATTCACATCTACCCCATATAAAAAGCATTTGTTGCACTTGTCAAGGGAGCAAGAACCTCTTCTGCACCCACAACAGTCTCTACTGCAAGTGAATTTCTTGCCCATCATCACTGTAAACCGATCCCTGCCTCACAGCCGATGGGCCTGACAGCACGAATATGCAAGGCAGCTAGTGCAGGTCTTCTAACAGAGACCTTGCATTGCCTTTAAGTCCTGCTCCTGGTGCCAGCTTCATTATCTTCCACTTAATCTCTTCTGGTCACCAAATAAAAATCAGAGGGATGAGGTGCTGGCCCATGGGGCAAACTCATGCCACTGTGCTATTTTACTTGGCTGTCACGGTGGTGTTTGTTTGATTCTAATTTGAACCACAATAATGAGAAAATTGAGTCCACATTAAAAAAAAAAAGTATCTGACATTTCCTGAGAAATCAGATCTGGGCACACTGAACCCATAGTCTACCCTGGCACCAAGTGTACAGAGTTGAGTTGTGCCCAAACTCTGGCCAGCACATGGGCCTTTGAGTTTGCCACAGTACCCTTGACAAGTGTCAACCTTTATTATGTTTTTGCTGTTGCTTTCCCTTACTAGAGGAAAGGGTCTGCTTCCATTCGTGTCTGTGTCAAAAGGGAGAGAAGAGAAGTTATCCTGGGAGGGTTGCGTGTTGAGACAGAGACAGAGAGGAGAGGGAGGGAGGGAAGAAGGGAGAGAGACAGAGGGAGAGGGAGAATATTTCTCTGACAGAGTGAAGAATAATTCTATACTTTTCATAAGTAAATAGTAGTCCAGTTCCCTCATTTTCTTTTCTGCCTTGCCCCTCTATGCACTTGGATTTCAATCCCTGGTATAATTGCTTCTGTGAAGATTGTTCTTACCAAAATGGCTATGTCAAATCCCATTCCATGTGCTCTTCCATGACCTTATCACTCCTGCATGAAGAGATGAATTCTAGGTTCCCTCCCTCTGATCCTGGCCAGGCTTTTATGATGACCTCCATGAATAGAACACGGTAGAGGAGACACTCCTCGATTTCCAAGACTAGGTTAGAAGAGAATATGGAGCTCTCTGTACTGGTTGGTTCTCTCAGGACACTTGCCCTTTGAAGCCAGACACCATGTTGTGAGGAAGCCGAAGACACATGGAGAGGCCACATGTGATGTTCTGGCCAATACCCCAGTCAAAATCCCAGTCCACGGCCAGCATCAATTGCTGGACATATAATGACAACTTGCTGTCATTTTTGAATACCTGGCATGTTTTCGGGGGGGGGGGCGTGTGGAGGAGTGAAATGGCTTATCTCCAGATGAATCCAGCCCCCAGCCCTCAAGTCACCCGCAGTCTGTGAGTCTTCCCAGCTGAGGCCTCCGACACCTCCCACCTTGCCCTTGTCTGAATTACTGACCTACAGAATGTGTGAGCCTCGTAAATGGTCATTTGCACCACTGAATTTTGGAATAATTCATTATGTGGCATTAGATAACCAGAGCAACTCCTTCTGAGAATTGTCTCTGAGTGGTCATTCCACCTGGTTTTTGTTTTTTGTTTTTCAATTAAAACCTGATTGTATCTGAGGACAGAAAAAGACATACCTATACCAGACATTGCTATGTTTACTTAATTAAATGAACAAATGTATTTATTGCTGTGTCAGTGCTTCCCTTATTACCACCAAAATAAGCATGTCTCTGTAACATACTTCAGGTCCCGTGCCCTACAGGGGCTGATATTAGTCAACATGTGACAAACAGAGAGATTCCAAATAGTGGGAAGCAGCGATACGCTGATAAAGTTCCCTGCAATCATTTCACTCTCAACGACGAAGAAGATTGCTGTAAGGCCCTGAGTTGGATAAGGAACAACTCCATCATCGCAGAAGGTAAGGATGTTTGAAACTGTGCATCTTTACAGAATCGCTTTTTATTTTTATAATGAGTCTCATTCTTCATCTAGTTCCAGTATATAATTAGTGCCTAATTAATTCCAACCAAATCATTCATCTGTCATGCTTTGTTTTCCAGATTAATTTACAACTTGTTGTCATTTTTGGATACCCAGCATGTTTGCTGGGGGAAAGAAAAAGGCTTGAGATAGTTTAATTATCTATAATTATTTTATTACACAAAATGAATATCCGAAAAGCAAAGCATGGCTAAAATCATTAACTAATTAAATAATAATGTAATAAGCAAACATGTTTAGCAATTATATGGAAAATATGTCTCCTTTTGTGAAGCCGAAAAGACCTCGGAAGAAAAAGAAAGGTCTGCATTGGAAGGGCTCTTTTCTTCCCTTCCCGAGCCATTGTTCTCTTTCTTGGTGGTGTGCGCACAGTCCTTCCCACAAATGCACGTATTTGAGTTGCATGCCACTTTTTGAATCAAAATGAGACAGTAAACCATTTCAACAAATGCCCCTGCCACTCAAAAGTGTTTTCTCAAGCAGCTTCCTCTCTGTTGCTTGGATTAAATTGAAATTGTCTGACTAGCAAGACAACCAGAACAGGGCCCAGCTACCTCTTTGTCCTTAATTGAAACCTGGGAGTCAAGTTTTGAAGATGACAAAGTGCAGCCTCTCCGTTTTAGCCTACAGCTTGGGGAGGGTCAGTGACTTGGTTAGCCTATACAGCTCCCCGTGGCAGGCTGGGGTTCTGTGCAGTCCAGGGATGTGAAAAAACACTAAGTGCCTATCATCTGGGATCAACATGTAAAATTAAATCTATTAATCTATTTAATGTACTTATTCAAATACAATTTAATGATGTTAGTTAACATAATATATTAAAATCAAATACAGTTTCTTCTGATTTTTGGTGGAAGATTAAGGGATTAATTAACTGTTTGTTAAATTACTACATTTATTCCATTAAAAATTTAAAAAAATGGGTATCAAGTGACACTCAATACATTGCTGGATTCAATTTGCTAATATTTTATAGGCTATTTGATCTAAATTCATAAGTGAGATTGGCTTGTAATTTTCTCTTATAAGCTTTACATGTTCAGTTTGGGGAATTAAGGGTATGCTGGTCTCACCAAGGGTTTTTTGGAAGCTTTTTGTATTTTTCTAGGGTCTGAAATACATTGTGTAACCTAAAAGTTGGACCGAAATAACCCATAAAACCAAGTGGGTCTGGAAACTTTGGGTAGAGGTGGGATATAGAGATATATACCAGACTCAGATTTAAAACTTGTCAAAGTATTTTTCTATTTCCCTCAGAACTTGGTATTATTTTCAGTTTTGCATCTGTATGTGTTTAAACCTGTTTCAACATTTTAGTCATTTTTTAGTCACTGCCCTATGACCTACATAGACTTAAGGAATTCTTAATTTGGGGATCAACAAACTTTTACAGTAAAGGTAGATAGCAAATATATTGGACTTTGCAAGCCATATGGTCTGTGTCCCATCCACTCAGTTCTGCCACTGCAGCAAGAAAGACAATACATAAATAAATGGGCAAGGCTGTGTTCCAATAAAACTTTATTTACAAAAATCATTGATGAGCCATAGTTTGCAGAACCTGTTTTTTTATGCATAGGATTTGTGACAAATCATTACCATTTCCTCAAATCTAGGCCTCAAACTGTAACTTAAACTCCCTGAAAGCACAAAAGCCCATGGTTCCGTACAAAATACACAGTGTGTTTTAGGACTGTCGCCAATCCTGTCATAATGCAGTGTTTTAACTTCGAACAGTTGCCTATTTCTGATGTTAGGAATAAGGACCATTTTGACCAAAAAAAGGGCCTTTGGAAGTGACAGTGCAGGTTCTTGAGGTTGAATGTTTATGGCAGAGAATTTAGAAATCCCAAAACAACAAGCACTATGCCCTCCTTCAGATCCTTCAGATGCCTTTTTTTTTTTTTTTTATGCTCTTGGCTGTCAGATGGGGGAAGAGCATCTGTGTTATTTTGATGACTTGACTAGTTGTCAGAGATGGTGTTACTCTGCTGCCCACTTAAAGGAAAATAAATGCTTTTGCAAGATTTTAAAAATGTCTCCCATCAGCCACTGCATAAAACTCCTCTGACTGCCTGCTTTTGTCCACTGAACAGCCAAGATAAGAAGTATGTAGAAATGAGTTTCTTATCTTAAATGTAGGCTATTCCCCCAGGTCTAGTGCTAATGACATTCCCAGGGCATCTCTCAAGTAGGTGCTCTTTACTCTCAGATGCTGGGTCCAGGCTCTGGGAGACATCCAAGAAACTCAACCCTGCCAGATTAATTCATCTCTGTGTGGTGCTCCTTTTCAAATGACTTTTCATGTAAGAAAAGTTAGAAAGAAAACTGTTAACCTCCTGTCTGAAGGAAGCTCTTTCTCTTTGTAGCTTTTTCCACAATTAGAGTCCTATTCAGACTTGAATTTAATTAGTCCCATTTCAGATAATATCTTCCTCACATGGGTTGCTGTGAGGATGAAGTGAAATAAATATTTCATGCCCAACTCAGGACAGTGTGTCATATAGAGTACGAATTCAGGAATACTACTGCTCTGGGCCGTGGGGTTGTTGCTATGCACTGAAGGTTCCCCAGGGCGTAATGTCAGCCCCTGGTGATCGCTCGGTCTAGGACACAGTCCACACAAAAAATGGGGATCCGTGTACACCAGGGGCCGGTCCAGCAGTAGAGAGGCACGGTGTCCTTCCTGAGAGCCCTGCAAACTGAAGTTTGGAGAAAGAGGATCGAGCTCAGCCTTAAAGAAGAGCAGGATAAGTAAACAGAGAGACAGGTCGCGGGAGTGTGAATTGTATTGGGCAGGCCCTTGGAGGGCAGCCATGCCCAAGTTTAACTGGTTACTTTTTATTTTTATTTTTTTTTGAAGATTTTATTTATTTGTCAGAGAGAGAGAGAGCATGCGCGCATGAGCGAGCACAAGCAGGGGGAGCGGCAGGCAGAGGGAGAAGCAGGCTCCCTACTGAGTAGGGAGCCGGATGCGGGACTCGATCCCAGGAGACTGGGATCATGATCCAAGCTGAAGGCAGAGGCTTAACGACTGAGCCACGCAGGTATCCCTTAACTGCTTACTTTTTAGGGGTTGGGGAACTAGTGAAGGGGGATAACCAGTGCACAAAACAGCACTTTAAGAAGGTGAACCTCCCATCGGTGGTGCCCATCTAGTAGCGAGAAAGAGATCCAGAAGGAACAGGTTGGAGGTTGAAGGGGGGGCTGCCGTGCACGCAGGTGGGGGCTGCTGCAGCCACTTCTAGCTTCTACTCAAGTCAGTTACGGGATGACGGTATTGGAAGCTAGAAACTGGAAGCCTGGCACTTCATGAAAGCCGAGCAGGTCTGCGTTCCTGGACCTATTGCCATCGCTCCACCAGCCAGCCCTGGCTTCCTCTTCCCATCACCGTAACACCACCAGGAAGAGTGTGGACATCTTGCATGATAGTTAGCTTTTGCTCCCTCAGTGCTAATTTCCCCCTTTCTCAATAGTTCAGGGTGGGGCTGGCGGGAGGGAGGGGAGGACAGAGCCCTTCCTACCAAAGTCTGAGAAAAAAAATCTCGTGTCTCCGTGGCTGGGATTGGGTCACAGGTCCATCCGGGAATCACATGCTGAATCCGGGGACACACAGGACCTGACTTGGCTGAAGTACCGGGGCTTGAGGGGAGGGGCTTGTTTGTTGAGGATGGTAAAGGGATTGTTCTGGAAGAACAGGTGGATGCTGGGTAGCAGAAGCAAATGGATGGTGAGTCGGAGGAGGTCAGCTCTGGAATTTCTGCCCATTGAAACTACAGATGCAGCCCCAAAGCATCACCACTGTCCGTCCGCTCCCCCACCCCCCACCCGCATTCACTATTTTTGTTCTGCCTGCCCCTGCTTCCAAAGGAGATATAGTTCTGTGATGGAATTAGCCCAGTCTGAAGGAAATTGTTTTCTGGGCTCTAGAGTTGGATAGGTTTATAGATGTAAATTATCCTAAACTATTAGAACCGCTCCGGTGTCGTGGAGAATAGCTGACATCACCGGCTCAAATGCTGCTTTCAACTGCAAACAAAACCCGGAGGTTTCCGCCAGGGGTTTCAGATGGAACCCGGCAACCTAATACATTGCAACAGTTTATGGCATTAATTGAAACTAATTGAAATTCATCTGCTATTATCTCTGCACTTTCCATGAAAATGAAAAGTAAGATGAAAGTAAAGTAAATAAATAAATAAATAAATAAAATGGCCTTAATGGCCCGAAATGGATCAATTATTTTCATCTTTAGCTAAATACAGTTTACTGCCTTATTAAAAGCATGTTTGTTAGGAAAAGTATAACATTAAAATTCCAGTGCATGAATCACCGAGCAAAGCCTTTGTTATGTTATATCTAATATAGTCTTCCCTTTTTATTTGGCAGAGCAAAATGAGACAGGTCAGGCTTGGGTCATGGAAATCTTATGCTTTGACTTATAAAAAATAAAAAGAACATTCTCTGGTCTATTCGTGGACATATGTTTTTTAAGTGGATGTTTATTTCATAATTTACTAATATTCTGTGATATCTATTTTAAATTCTTTCATTATCTAGTTATTTGCTAAAGTTAATTATACAGATGATATGCCAGTTAGAGGTTTTTTGTTTGTTTTTGTTTTTTTAGGAATGTGTTACAAATAAAATGTAGTGGTATGAGCACTCTGAAACCAGACTCGGCAGGTCTGAGTTCTGCTGAACTTGCTGTGTGACCTGGAGCTAGATCCTTAACCTCTCTGTCCTCAGTTTCCTGAAGAACATAGTAACACATATCTCGTGGGCCTATTTTGAGGATGAATGAGGTCATACATAATCACTCTATGTCTCTTTTGAAGTGGAAAAAGGAAATATAATTCTTCATTAAAATACAATGGTATATGTAAATATACATAGACATAATTAAAAATACATAAA